TGGCACACTCTATACACACTTACTCGTTTTATTGATTTTATTTTTTCTCGTCCACGTGGAAGATTGCGATTCTACCCAATAAGTCAGCTCCATTCCCAATGCGATATTCTTAGTTGTGACGAAATATAATTGGCCATGCTTAGCAATCACCGCGAGGCTTCTCTTCTCTTTCGTGTCAGATGGTCTAATGTATCGAATCCAATTGCTTTTTAATGGATCCGTAGTGCTAATATATGTACTCTTTCCATTATTATCTATCTGAAAAGAAAAAGATTCATTTCCGCAATAATTACTTTTGTAATACAAATGCAATTTTACAATATTAAAATTCCAATGAATCAAAATGTCTGTCTGATAATACCTCCCAAATATGGCGCATAGAAAAATCATCCGGAATGTCCATTTCTCTAACCGAGACGCCGATAAGCGGACCAAACTTGGCATATATTGGAACTGGGTTCTTAGCATAGACGCCGAGACCGTGATCGGTATTTGCGATTTTCAATTCAAGGCAATCCGGCAGAGAATCTCTCGCGTATAGCGGTCGATCCATCTCTACTACCAGCTGCTTCTCCTCCCTCTGCATCTTCGGTTTGGCCTTGCATTGTTCGCTGGACGTTGGAGATTCGTCATCTGACTCGAAGCCGTCGTACGTTAATCTGCCATAACCCTCCGACATTGGATCCTCCGATGCGATGGTTTTCATTATCTCCGAATTCTCCTTGTGTCTGCTCAACCACTTTTCGTAAGAGATGGTATCGGCTATCGCGTACTGTGATGTCGTTAAAGGACAGGCGTCCTGCAAATGACGACTGTTGCATTCCTGGCAAAGCTTGATCTTGATCGCGAGTCTTTGTGGCTCGGACGCGACGTCGTCGGTACTATCGATATCCTCGGGGCTGCGACCGTTCCGCGTTTCCGCGTCCTCGGCGATCCTGCCAGAAGATTGGCTTTCTGCCGTCGTAGATAGCAGCTCGGCCGCCTTCGGTGGACACGCGTTTCGTGCCTCCTCCTGTTTGACGATGCCGTCTTGCGGTGCCTTCCGTACATCGTGATGCTTTTTGCTTTTGTGCTCGTTCGTATGCTTGTGCTTTTTTCGCCGGTGTTTAAACACCGTCGGCTCATCTAAAGCATTATTTTCCAAGAGATCCTTCTCTTGAATTTGCACATCGTGACGCGGACGTTTCCGTCTCCTTTTACGATTCTCCAATTTACGATTCTCCGCGTCTTCGCAATTGTTGGACGTTACGTCCTTGTATTCGTGCGATTCCACGCAACACATCGATTTGGCCTCGTCTTCCTTCTCAGGTGCGTCAGCAACATGTGTCTCGACTGCACTGGTTTCGTCAGCACTGGGATGTAGTAAATATTTTACGTTTGCCTTGTTCAAATTCTCAGTGTCGTATCCATGCTTTGGAAGAGACGTTGTTGTTGTTGTTGTATCGGCAAAATGCAGCTTAGTAATAATATTATTCTCCAAGGTATCCTTAGCTGAATCGCCAGGTACACCGATTACGTTTTCCTCACACCTGGTGTCGCTGTTGGTTGTACTATTTACATCGTTTCGAATTCTAATGCTATCTACGTGATCAGTCTTGGTCGTAGGGGGTTTAACTTGTTTTGTCTCGATTCCCAAGCTTTCTATATCTAATGTTAATTTAGGATCTAATTCACTGATTACGGTGATCTCGTGATTACTCGAATCTCTGTTTGCTGTCGAACTATTTCGCAGATCTGGTGCATTTCCACTGATACATTCAAATCTGTCTAGTTGAATAGAATTACTATCTTGAATGCCGTTCTTCAAGTGTCGCCGTTTTTTCCGCTTATCCTTGCGATGCTTCGTCTTGTTCTTGTGGTGCTTCGACCTTGAACTACGTCGTAAGTGCAACTTGATTGCATCGTCTGATACCTCTGATACATTCTCGCTTATCATAGAGGCAGAAGCATCAAGTAGGATCTTGTTTGATGCAGGATCTTGTTTCGTTGAACTTACTTTCGTAAGAACAGGTTCTTCCTTATCCAAGCTTTCAATCCTGACAGCTTCCTCATCCTGATCGCTATGTTTCCTCTTCCACTTCTCTGCTCCATTGCATTTACCCTGTTGCCTATACAAGCATAAAAAGATGTACATATTAAAAAATCTCTTTCACTCGTTCCCTTACACTTTTTATTTGCATAAATGTGTTGTATGCCGTATATCAAATATCAATCTCATTACATTGAAATAAATTAGAAATAAGAAATTGATTTGTCTCCAAGATGGAAATTTTATTCACTAAAAAAAGTTACTCTGCAGAAATAAAAGGAATAAAATATGAACCATAATGATTATTCCCTGAATAGGCGAAGAAGGCGAATGACACTAATTGTCTGGGATTTTCGAAATGTGCGCCTTCCATAACGGGGTATCGATCGATTTCATTTTGCATCACCCAGTTCACTGTCTCTTCGCCGACCGAACAGTACATACATACATAACATACATCGTCCCGCAAGATGGCGATTCGTCGAAACGCGTTCCGACTGAGAGTACTGGAGTAGGGGGGAAAGCACCGGGCGACTGAACGCGGCGAAACGCGTGACAGCTAGGTGTAAGCATGTAAGGTGAGCCGAGAAGAGCCAGCTTAAGCCAGCTCAAGCCAGCTCAAGCCAGCCAGGACTGAGCCATTGAGCAGGCTGAACTTGAGTTATGCTTTGACGAGTTGTTGTCGGATGCGCGACAAGACAACACGATGCCATGCCATACGATGCAATGCGATAAAATACGATACAATGCAGTCCGTTGGCGTCGTCAACGTGGTCAGGCTGGTTAGGCAAAGGAAACGTACTTACGTACCTAGTTAACCTAGTGGTGGTTGTGGTAGTGGTGGCGGTGGTGGTAGATTCTGCGAGGTCCAGCAAGTACACCGCGACATCATCGTCCGCCGTGAAACCTAGGCGTCTTCTAAGCGAGAGCCAGCGCTTGCTGTTGGTCAGACCGATATGCACGCAGTGCACGCTGCGAAGGTGCTTGGCTGGCACCAGTTCCGAGAGTTCCGAGACCGAGAGAGTCGTCGTCGTCGTCGTCGTCGTCGTCGTTGCCGCCGCCGCCGCACCGGGCGGCGGTGGCTGCAATTGTTGCCGAGTACTTGTCGCGTTCCCCAACTCCCTCAAATGCCGCGTGCCCTTCTTCGGCATAACTATCGATAACTACATCGTACAGATCGCGGCTACGAGAGCTAGGCTGGGATACGATACGATACGATACGATTATACGAAAGCGGAAATTCGGAAACAAAGCTCTGCAAACGGTGAAAAGGAGTAAAGGACACCTCCGCCGCGCCGCGGGAGGACGCGCACCGATATTATCCTATCCTCTTTATGCTCGCCGCCGTACCGCCGTATCGCCGCACCGCCACCACCGCCACGGGCCACGGCCGCCCACTCCACACTCACCCACTTCACCCACCCTGTCATCTCACTCTCGTACACGCTCTCCCTCTCCCTCTCCCTTACTCTTCCATTCTACTTTATCGATCCCACGGCACGGCCGTCGGCCGTCGGCTACGGACTACCACGGACGCACGGACGCGGACGGCCGCGAGATGCAACGCGCAACGCTCCCCAATCCCGCCATTCCCGCCAATCCAGCCATCCGTGATACGTACCGTCAATACTGTGAACCGTGATTCGCCCGGCCCGGCTTTTATCACCGCGATTACTCCAACTCTTGCCTATCGGCGCGTCGAAAAAAACATGAGTAAATCTCCTCTCAATCAGCGTTTCAATGTATTTTTAATGTCACTGATTGGACGAAAATTAAATGAAAGGATGAGTAACGAACCAAATTGTTACTACCTTCGAATTTCGATATATCACGATCGAGCGCAACGATCCTGCTTTCTGCATATATGTTTTACTTTATTTCATTCCCTATCCTCCTATGTCGATTTCTGTCAATTTCATTTACCTTCAGACAATATCATTTCTCCACTGTGGTTATTTCTCATATCCATCCTAAACTGACTGCAGTTATAGAAGCATCGATAATGCGGGGTCTACAATAGAAGTCGTAGCAGTCGTAGGGTCTTAAG